ATTATCATTATGAAATATACTGTGTTAGTTTATTTATTTTTGTTTTATGTTTGGGTCCCTGTCCACCACCAGTAACCAGAAAAGAAGCCCCATGAGAGCAGGAAATCGGTCTGTATACATCACTGCATTATCCCAGTAACTAGAACAAAGCCTGGCATATAATAGGTGCTCAAGAAACATTTGCTGACTGAACATTCATTTTTAAAAATTTCTTAAAATCTCCAATAAATTATATCAGGCAATCAAATATACATATATCCATTAAACTTTGACTTGAATGTAATTGAATCAATTAAATTCATATTGAAAAATACACAGAATGATTTATTTTGTAAATAAATCCCATTATATAAAGTTATTCTGTACATAAATTTATTCTGTAAGAATTTAAAACACTGATTATTGCCAATGATTAAAATTCTGATATATTTGTATATGTCAATAAGGAAATAAAGAATAAAATAATAGCTCTCCCTTCTCACCAGAAAACTTTTTCAAAATTTTGTATTGTTTAGATTAGTGCTGATCAACTTTTCAAGCACATATGAATTGCTTGAGGGTCTTGTGACAATGCACTTTATGATTCTATAAGTCTTGGGTAGGTCCTGAATCCTAATTAAAAAAACCTGTTTGTCCATGGACCAAGATTTGAATAGACAAGTTTAGATCATTTTTCGGCACTAATAATTGCACAGATATGACATAAAAAATGTTATTGTGATGACCATTTCACTCAGTAAGAAAAAAACATATTTAAAAATATTTGTAATGACTTTAGTAAGGTGATATTAAGTAGTTGAGTATAAGAGTGTGGTTTATTGCTTGTTGACTGTTCTTTCACCAAGAGGGAACCCTAATGTAAACTATCAATGTGGGTAATAATGATGTCTCAATGTAGGTTCACTGACTGTAACAAACCCATCACTCTGGTGGGTGACACTGATAATGGGGGAGGCTGCACGTGTATGGGAGTTCAGTTTTGCTATAAACCTAAAACTGCTTTTAAAAACAAAGTCTGTTAAAAATAAAAAAGGCAACCTACAGAATGAGAAAAATAATTGCAAATCATATATTTGATAAGGGTTTATATATAGATAAATATATATCTATATATCTATATATAGATATATATTAGATTTATATAGAGATATATACAGATTATAAATATATAGATATAGATACAAATATATCTGTATATTTATAGACATGCATTTATATATAGAAATACATTTATATAATTTATATTTATATATAGATTATAGATGTACATAATATATAGATATTTAGAGAGAGAGAGAGAAGATTTAAATAACTCCTACAAGTCAACAACAACAAAAAGTAAACAATCCTATAAAGAGATGGGCAAAGGACTTCAATCGATATTTCTCCAAAGAAGAAACACCAATGTCCAAGAAGTACAAAAAAAGAAGCTGAAGATCATTAGTCATTAGGGAAAGGCAAATCAAAACCACAATGAGATTCCACTTTGCTTGCTCTAGGATGGCATGGCATGGATGGATGGATGGATAGGTAGATAGGTAAATAAATAGATAGACAGATAAATAAATAAATAGATAGATAGATATTCCCAGAGAGCCTTAAAAAATTTGGTTAAATATCTTTCATCCAGGCCTACCCCATCACGCTCCTTAATGTTTCAATTTGCCCTCCTTCTATTTATGATCTCCCTTAGTTAATTCTGTTTTCATAGCACTTAACATCTTTTAACCAACCATGCCATTTCCTATAAATATGTGTGTGTGTGTGTGTGTCTGTATGTGAGTGTAAAGAGCAAGTGAGAATATTTTCTGTTTAACTCAAGAGTAGGAGGAATAGGATTTTTGTCTGTTTCTTTTATGTGATTTATACTAGGTATCTTAAACACTGCTTGACACATAACTGCTCGATAAATATGTGTTAAACCAATTTAATATTTCCGTATTCTCTATTTTGCTTGATAATTCTTGACAGGTTTTTGAGAATTTTATCAGTCTTTTCAAATCCTATCTTACATTTGTGTTCTATTTCATTAATTTTCACTATTAGCTAATTAGTTTCTAATATAAGGATTTAAGTCTATAACTTTTACCCTAAGTACTAGCTTAGCCAAATCCCATAGTTTTTTAATGAATTTTTTTATTATTAGTTATTGAAAACATTTCCTAATTACCTTATGATTTTTGGGGGGGGGGGGCAGCTGTTGTTAGAAGTGTCTTTCTCCCAGCCCATAAAGATTTTTTTAAAGATTTTATTTAGTTTTTACTTTTTATCTTTCCTTCTTCTCCCCAAAGCCTCCCAGGACACAGTTGCATATTTTAGTTGTGGGTCCTTCCAGTTGGGGCAATGTGGGAGGCCACCTCAGCATGGCTTGATGAGCAGTGCTAGGTCTGTGCCCAGGATACAAACTGGCGAAACCGTGGTCCTGGGCCACCAGAGCAGAGCGCGTGAACCCAACCACTCGGCCACAGGGCCGGCCCCACATAAAGATCTTTTAGTTTTTGTTTTATAATTGATTTCCAGGCTAATTCAAAAGACATAATCTATGTCACTTTAATGCATTTAAAATTATTGAAATTTGCTTAATGTTTAATAATATAATTTCTCTCTTTTTTTGGTAAATGTTCTGTTGTGCTTGAAAAGAATAGATAGCTGCAATTGGTAAATAAAGGCAAAAGTAATCATAAGCCTTTGGAGGGAAGGTTGTACCAGAAGGTGCATTTTTGTGAACTGATTGCCAAATCATTTTGATTTGCCCATTAGGTTCAGATTACTTAATAATTATGTTAATCAAATATCCTGCATCCTTACTAATCACAGGGCAGAATTAAGTTATTTTGAGTATTCCTGAGATACTCTTGCGTATCAACAGTGACCATGCTAATTAGAATATATAGGGAAACAAAATATATGGTTGTTTTCCAAAGGAGCCTTTATATCCATGGCAAAGTTATGTTCAAATAAAATTTTAGAGTTCTCAGATACACAAATCATTTTCTTTGACTATATCCTGTATTTTAGGCATGTATTTACATTATAAAACAAAGAATAACATTTAAATTTTTCTGCCAGACTGTGCTTTAAAAGTCTATATTGATCTACAGAAAATTAAAGTAGCCCATACTTCTGTTTTATAAAGATTATTTTGTTCTCCTCCATTAGAAATAGTCTATGCCTTTAAAGAGTTGAAATTTTTCATTCTTTCTGCTATTCCTAGGTGGCCTATTTCTACCTAATGATATTTCAGAAGTTTTCTTAGAGCCGTAATACACGTTTTTACTTGGAATTCTCAAAAAAAAAAAAAACCCCAAAAAAACAAAAAACCCAAAGACGGTAGAACTTTAGCCTAATTCTCAGTTGGTTTTCAGCCAAACTTCTGAAATCAGTTGCCATGGTGATTTTTAAAAATGTTTTCTTCCTATTTTTCTGGGTCTAATTAGAGCATCAAAGTTCACACAGGATAATAATACCATTCATAATTCATATAGCAGTTTCTAGCCATTCTACAATTAAAATATAACATTTAAGACCAGTAGCATGGGAAGACTGTTGAATTTTTAAAAATACATAATAAAAATAAGCAACGTTATATAAAAAGAAATCACGTCCATGTAATGAGAACCAATATCAAAATATGGGTTACTTTTAGGGTTTATTCTAACTTTTTGTTTGTTTATTTGTTAAGGAGCTAAAAAAGTTTTCTTCTTCCCATGTAATATCTGGAACTAATTCAGCCTTCTGCGCCAGTCTTACTGAAATAAGTAAGCCTACTCAAAACTCAAAATGATTTGGCAATCAGTTCACAAAGATGCACCTTCTGGTACAACTTTCCCTCCAAAGGCTTATGATTACTTTTGCCTTTATTTTCCATACAAAAGAACTACCAAGGCAGTAAGTTTTAATACATTTCTGATCCTCTTAGTATATCAGCATCCTTTTCCAAACACAGATAGAGGATTCCTAGAAATATTCACAATGTTAGAACCTAAATACAAAGAATTCAAGGAAAATTTAGCCAGAAATAAATTGATACTTTAAGTACAGAAAAATTTCATTTGAACTTTGACAAACTCTTAGCTACTCCTGTTGGTAGCTTCATCGGGGAATGCACTAATAACATCTGTCCCACTTACCCCTCGGGGTTTCTGGAAAGATCAAGTGGAGAGTAGCAGATAAAAGGGCATTGGAAGTTAAAAGTTCTGTCTAAATGTGAGCTCTTAGTATACTGAAGTTCCTCTTGATATTCCACATTTGGTTCCAAGAGGCGAGAAAAAGATCAAACTGTAATAATCTAGCTCAGAAATTATTACTAGTAATAACGGAATAATTTGTCAACTGTCATTTTGACAAGTTGTATTCACCTCATTTCCAATGAAATGAGGCAACAATTGGACTGTGTTGCACAGTTTTACAGACTTGTCCAAATGAGCACATATGGCCCATTTAGCTAAGGATATTTTAATAGGTGCTGTTTATTATAAGTTGATCTCCTGCAAAAATATTACATAGCTGACATGTATCTCCTTTAGGAAATCACTTTGTCTATTTTATACATTATCTGAGTATTGATTTTTTGTTTTTTTTTAACAACTTATCACAACTCATAATTTATGCAAAGAAAAGACAACTCTGATTTGCATCAAAGCAGAGGCTTGTCAACCTCGCATGAGTTGGCTTTGATGAATGTTTTGCTTGTATTTTTTCCAAAAATTTCTTTCATATGGAAAATATTTGTTTCAGTTTTGTTTGCCTTTGAAGACACTTGTTTTCCAATTTATCTGCAATTACTTCACACACACGCAAAGCCATCAACTAGTTTTAAATGAATTACAGTTCTAAATTAAGTATTGAGAGGGAGAAAGGAATGTATTTAAATAGTTAAATCTCCTTATCTGCCTCTGCTCCTGAGCTACACATACTCTGCATGTTTTAGCAATTAATACAAGAGAGTAAGGTTGTGGAGATCATGGCACAAAGTAAGGAAACAGAACATTTCCACTTACTGCAAATGAAAGTTGACTCATCTGAATTATCAGCACAATCATTCACAAAATCACACAGCTTGTCCTTTGCAATGCAGTGCTTGTTAGCACACGTGAATTCTTGAGCAGTACACTCTCTGTCTGGGCTAAGGAGCGGGGAACAATCTTGAAAGGAAATATCATCCACTGCTACGTCTCCCATGTAACTAATACCGCGTTTTGCCCTGAAGACAATCTAAAAAAAGAAAAGAAAAGCAATTTCAGTTGAGCTGTCCATCAAGAATTCAAAACCTGGGGCAAACACAAAATATAGGACATCAAGCTTGAAATTGACAAAACACCTCCATAACAAAACTGACTCAGAAAGCTTGAGGGTTATCTAAGATCCGTACAAATCCTCAACACCTAAGAATGTGGGAGTGGCAACACCATTGCCTCTTGTCTAGGTCTGTAGGATATGTGGTCTAGAAAACTGGAAGGAGTCACGAACCCACCACTGCTGCCTCTGCAGCTCTCAGACCCAAAACAAGACCTGCTCACGGCTCAGAGCTTCATCACACATGGAAGTAGGAGGCCAATCAGGTAACAGAATTCATCAAGAGAAAGAAAAAGCAAGCAATTCTTTCCACTCCTCAGATCTGTCCACTCCAACGATTTGAAAGTGAAAAGGTATAATACCTCAGTACCATGAGTTTTTAAAATTTGCCACATCTTTGGAATTGAAATGATTTTGAAATGCCTTTGATTAAAGAATGTGATGAATAAAATTCTCACTTGTGACATTGTTTGACAGTAAGATCCAGTTATACGGACTCCCATGGAATTCGAAGCAATGAAAAATAATAACAGGGGCCACTAAAGTTTTGGGATATTCCAACTTCAATTTGTAACACGACCACTGATGGGAATAACAATGAACAATGTTTCGCAGAACATAAAAAGCCATATATTGTTTAGTTTCAAATTTCTAAGTGAAGCTAATTTAGAGTGTTTCTATCAAATTTCTCTGCAGGCCAAATATGTATTTGTGTGTTAACATTAGAAATGTTCAAATATTTTAAAGTAAATTTAGAAAAATTAGAGATGAGATACCAAGAAATACAGATTTACTTTGGTGATTTATGCAGAATATTTATTATTCAAACTTGCCAACACCTTTTTTGACAAAATCTAAACAATTATTTTTCTTGAAAGAATTACTGTTTTTCCTCGATGTGTTATGCTTTTATACTACTGAGTAAAAACCTAGGTGTTTTCTTTTTAAGATGAGAGGATAGAATAATTGAAAATCATGCCTCTCACATTGTCAAAAAAATACAATTTTGCTGTAAATTCATATATCAGATTTACATAAAAGGAATTAATTGTTTTCCTCATAGCAGATGTGCCGGGAAAGAAAAATAAATCTGTAAGATAGAAAGAGCTTGGAAGTGATTTAGGTGAAACTAGAAAGAATAACAAGGATTACAACTTTTTTTATACGCAAAATTGAGCCCAAGAAAAACATTGATACACAAATTGAAAAAGGTACTCTATTATCAGGATACATCTAAATACATTTAAATATGTGATGCAATGCTCTGTAAATAAGAAACTAGATAACTCAGTGAGTGTTTTATTACCAATCTTTTTATCTGCTATCCAATAGACACAATCTCAGTTGCCTGCTGTGTCCCAATGATTAAATCATCACTTATACTGCAACGCTTCAAACAGTGGAGGTTGAGATTCCATAGACTTTAATATTGAATGTGATTAAACCTTTGTTTGAAGAGCAATTATATATTTTTTCAAGTAGAATAAAAGCAGGGTCAACTATTTTGGAAAATATGGGAAACAATATAGCATAGCAGTTAAATTATGGACTCATAGATGACCTGCATGTGTTTAACACCTGTTTCTGCCATTTTGTAGTACATAACTAGGTCAAGTTACCTAACTTCTAGGTCTTTCTGTATTCTAATCTACAAAACAGAGATAATGATAGTATGTGCCTCATACAGTTATTGTGAAAACTAAAGGAGTAAATATTTTAAATTCATAGAATAGTACTTAGCACTTAGTAAGTTCTATGTATGTGATTGCTCTAGTTACAAAAATTATTATAGGGGCCGGCCCCCTGGCCTAGTGGTTAAGTTCACACACTTCGCTTCGGCGGCCCAGGGTTTCACTGGTTTGGATTGTGGGCGCAGTCATGGCACCCCTCGTCTAACCATGCTGAGCTGGCGTCCCACACAACACAACCAGAACGACCTGCAACTAGAATACACAACTATGTACTGTAGGGCTTTGGGAAGCAGGAGAAAAAAAAAGATTGGTAACAGATGTTAGCTCAGGTGCCAATCTTTTAAAAAAATTATTATAATTAAATATGCTGTTTGAACTTGGAGGTTCCCCGATAAAACTGTAAAAAATACCCAGTGCTGCTTCAGCACATAATTTCTAAAAGTGTTTTATACTTTACTCAAGGGTTAGAGGCACTCATCTCTCTGAGGCTAAAAATGGAAGCATCATTGACAGTACGCTTGGCTCATGGCTCCATCTCCAGTGCAGAGTAATGTGCTCTGCACATAGTAGGTGCTTAATAAATTTCCACTGAAGGAATGAGTGAATCACACTAAACATCAAATATTCATAAGCCATTAATATTCAGTTTTCAGATCCAAACAACATGGGTATATTTCTCTTCAAACTTCAATATGTGAAAAATTAAATTTCAGAAAGGCTAAATTAATAATTGATTCCTCTGGCTTAAATCCCTTTTATTGTTGTTTTGAACATGATTTTACTATACAAATATTTTACTTGCACAAAACTAGTTAAGAATTCATTGCCTGCAGTGGATGCCTATATCTGGCAGCTGTAAAACCTTCTACGTGTTCTCACTGAGGATTCTTCTTGCTTCAGGTAAAAGATCTGGGAGGTTGAACAGGTAGAATCATTTTAATAATAAATTTCATATTGTGCAAGACCATTAAATTGCTGTCTAATATCCAGTTCTTCAGATTGATCTTATTTGAGTTTATTTCTTACCAATTTCCTAAATTATCTACAAATGACCCATAATAAAACTGGATTTCAAAAAGAGCAGAAAATATATGGGATTTATTACACATATCATTTCAAGAGATTGGGGATAATTTCATATCTATGCCTTTATACAGATGTGTCTATGTCTGTGCATCTACTGAAGTTGAGAAGGGCTGATCAATCAAACATAGCACACGATTATAGACATAGTTACTGAACATTAACAGCAGAATGGCTACTTCTGCTGCATATACACAGGACTGGATATGTAATAATTAGCAAGGATATTATATCTTCTACTTAGAGTCAAGGGGTTCTAAATTCATGGAATTAGGCCCTATGCAGTTAAGACTAAAAAACCCCCAGATGTTCCCCAACATAAACGGCTCTGGATCCTTATCCTTATCCGTATCTTAACAAGTCTTCTTTCTTCTTATCCAAATCTTAACAAGTCTTAATAGCTAAGCCTCACCTTCCAAGAAAACCCCCTTTCACAAAAAAAAAAAAAAAAATCCACCACCAACAAAACACACAACCACACACACACACACACACACACACATCCATGGAGCTCTTGTTTTCTTGGTAATCTGTAAAAAATAAAATCCATAGGAAATATCTTGGCACACAATTATTTTCAGTTTAAACGCTTTAATCTATGTACTACTTGCTCTTTTCTTTAACTGTTAGGTATGTACAGGCCTTATTCTCCTATTATTTAATCTACACGAAGACAAATTCAGCATCACACGATTTTGTGCCTCCTCCAAAATATTTTTGAATTAAGTAAATCTATATCTCTTAAGGCTCAACAATACAATGTGCTTTCAAAAGTCCATCTTTTTATTCACATTTGAAATAAATTAATGTATTTACTCTACGGTCTCTAAGAATATATTTGTAAAATAGAGGGAGGTGTTCTTTACATGAAGGAGGCTGATTGGAGTGGAGGATGTTTGTCATTAAAATTAAACGTTCCTAAAAGTGTGATTGTCTAATTGGGAGAAATAAGGACATTCTAGAACTGTAAATTGCCTACAGAAAAGGCTCTATGGAGTGGTAAACATTCACATAACACATCAAAAAGAAAATGGAAGAACGAGAAGACTATGAGTGAAGGAAACAAATTAGGATTAAAGAAAAAAGTCAACAAAACTCCTTCATCCCCCAACTACTTGCATTACAAACCTGTATAAATGAATGAACGCCTAAAAACACTTCTACTTTTTTCCACTGTGCACCTTGCTGTCCAGTTTGAGCCCACAATTTAGAAGTAGCATTGTCTCTCTTGCTGAGAACCTGTAGAGATAAATCAAGTAGGAAGCATTCCAATATTTTGTCTTGAAAAATTTTAAACACGTAGAATTTTCCCAGTGATTTTTAAAATTTTAATATCAACATGAAGTCCCTGAGAGAAAAGCTAAGACATTTTTCATTAGACGTCTTTGTTTTCTATAGAGCGCTGAGTCCTCAGGGTAGCTCACAAGCTCTGTATCCTAAAGATGTGCATGAATATCTGTCAGTCAAGTCTGAAGGTATCTGGGCACCATTTAATTAAGAACTCCTAGCTACAGTAGCTTTTTAAAATCTGACAGCAGTAACATTTGGAAGTTCATACATTAAGTATTAGTCATGTAGTTGAGTGAAAAGCACAGAATTACTTACTAAAACACTCTTTTGAGAATGCTTCTTCATCCTCTTGGGTTCAGTGAGGGGCAGTGACATCACAATGGGAGCCCACTCAATTTTAACAGCACATATGGGTGATATGAATGGGCTCCCACTCATGTTGTGCCAGTAAGAGCTCCCTATCCAACAGCCTTGAAACTAACAAATTCTCGCCAGTACTATATCCTCATTCTAAATGAAAATTCAGATTAGTCTCAGGGGGCATATTATCATGGCTCTTCATTTAGAATGATACAAAATGAGCCATCAAGAGAATAATTGAAGAGAATAGTGAAGAGCAGAACAATTCCACTTTTTAAAATAACTTGCTTAGATGGTTTATTTAATTATTTCGCAACATTACTTTTAAAAATACAATTCGTACAGCCTAAGAATTATTCAGGTAAAGGGTCTGTGAAGGTTTCTTCTTTTGAAAGTGACAGTAACTTTTAATGGTTTCATTATCTGTTTTTTTAAACTAAATTCAAATGGCCATTTTTATAGAATTAGTTTCTAGAGTCATATAAAAAGTAATATGTGGCTCGCAAAAGTATCACCAAATTCTTGGTCTATAAAATTAAGTTAAATCAGCATATTAAAGTCAAGAAAATAAAATTTATAAAAAAAATTGTTTTTGAAGGATACTAAAAAGAATAGGAAATAGATCTTCTTTGTATGAATACCACTCTATATACAAATCACTAAGGAAAAATGTGTTCATGCACTATATTAATACAACATTTAGCTTTATTTTATTTACAAAAATAAGAATCACATGTATTACCATACTAATTATTTGATAATTACTTATAAAATTTTAATACTATTTCATAATTTTTTATCTACTAATACAAAATCTTATTATTAAAAATAATGAAAGCATATTTCAGATAATTAATCAACCACAAAATATGCCAGGTAAACCATTATTATTTTTCTGATGAAAAACCTGCAGTAAGCTGTATTGATCGCTTTGCCTAAAACCATTTTTAAAAAGTCAATGTAAAATAAATCATAAATTTTAACTTCAACCCATAAGACTATTCGGATGCTTTTAGATTATTAAACACACACACACATATATATAAACAAGTTTAGTTTTAAATTGTTTTTCATAAGAAGTGACACCTATAAGAAAGAAGACAATTCTTTCAAAATTGATCTATAAATTTAATACATTTCCAATTAAAAACACTAACAGCATTTTTGAAATAAGGTATGTTTATCTAAAATTTATTTGGAAAAATTAACATTTATTATGGCCAGGAAAATCCTAGAATAAAACAGTAATAAAATGGGGGAAAAACACCTAATATTAAAATTATGATCAAGCTACTGGAAAAGAAGTGATTAAACACTGGTCTATGGTCTCTTTCTTTCTCTTTATTGGGGAAAAAGAAAGCAGGTGGCCCAAGTGTAATATCCTTGCAAATATGACAAATCTGGACTTCTTGGTAAACAAATTAATGGTCTTTGACTGGAGGAGAGCACTTATCCATGGTTGTTTTAAGCAAGATATCCCTATTCTAAAACTGCTTATAGTAAACAATTCTGGAATTTTGGGATTTATTTTTCAGGCATGCCTTCCTGGAAAACGTTACTTAAGCTATGAAACTGAGTATAAATGGAGATACTTCAAAACTGAGTTGGCTTCTTTTGTGCAGGTGTAATATGTATGTGTCTGTACATACTACTTACAAATCTTATACATTATACAAGGTGTGTCCAGTGTGGGAAAGCAGTATCTAGGGATCTTCATTCAGACTCAGAACCTCTCTCTGTTTTGCCTGTATAACTTGGTCTTCTAGAAGAAACCAGGACCCGCTGGAGAAATAGTTAACTCTAGGGATGGAAATGAGTCTGGAACATCTTCTTGGCCAGGGAGGAAGGAAATTTTTTTTTTTTTAAAGATTTTATTTTTTCTTTTCTCCCCAAAGCCCCCCGGCACATAGCTGTATATTCTTCGTTGTGGATCCTTCTAGTTGTGGCATGTGGGACGCTGCCTCAGCGTGGCTTGATGAGCAGTGCCGTGTCCACGCCCAGGATTCGAACTGACGAAACACTGGGCCGCCTGCAGCGGAGCGCGTGAACTTAAGCACTCGGCCATGGGGCCAGCCCCAGGAAGGAAATGTTTAAAGGCTGATAGGCTTGTCAAAGAGACATAGAAGTCAGCTTGAAGAGTCTGCTATGACCTAATCTGGGACAATTTAAGAACCAACAATAATAATAGAAATGTATGATAACAAACCGTACACAATAGGAACCCATGAGTCCACACTGATATAAATCAGTAAATGGATCAAAAAAGGAAAGTTTTTTTTTGCAATAGAAAACTAACCTACAAACGTAGACAGAATAGTAGTGTTAGAAAATCGCAATGAGGCAATCGTCACAGTAAAATTAATTCCAGCAAAAAATACTACAGGAAGCAAAAACTAGTGGATATATTGAGTTGAGATCAGGATTTTCCACACTCTCAAAATGTCTCTTCTCAAAATATTTATTGATAACAAAGGGAGCAAAAGTACTGAGACTGATAGACATTATGTACCAACCAATGGTTAGTGCACAATATGGCGTGATATTACAGGAAATAAAGAATACACTAGTGGTGATATTACAGAAAAAAAGAACACAATATTGGTGATCTTACAGGGGGAAAGAAAAGCTTAACATTGAGCAAATCCAAACTGAGGGACATTCTACAAAATAATTTAATTATAATCTTTTAAAATATCAAGGTCATAAAAGTGGAGGAAAGATTAAGGAATTGTTCCAGTTTGAAACACACTAGAAAGAAATAACAACTGGGTGCAATATGTTATCCTGCACTGAATTTTTCCTATAAAAGAAGATGCTACTGGGACAACAGGCAAAAAATAGGGTCTCTGGGTAAAGGGTATCTTGGAGTTGTCTGTGAGATTCTTGCAACAGTTTGAAAGAATTTCAACAATAAGTTTGAAACAGTTAAAAAAAATTTTCTTTTTTACAAAGAAACCATTTTAAAAAAGCTATTGGAGAATGTAGCACCATTACCATCAAGGACAAGAAGAATGCACATTCAAATATCACCATAGTGTGTAAAACTCATTTGATTGTGCTATTCTCAGAACATTGACACTGCAACCTACATGAAACATTTCAAGTATAAAACTGTTTTACACAGAAGCCATAACCTCAGAATAAAGACAATAATTATAAATTGAATAGGGAAAAAAGTACCTTATTAGACATTAAGGTCTAATTCTGCTAAAGCTTTTCTTCAATCATACCATTTTGAAACTAGACAAGTGTTGATAATTGTTCGTTTTCATTCATCAGCAGACTATATTTTAACACCAAGTTATACAGTACGAGTTTTTATAGAGAAAAGTCAGAAAATACAATTGTTTAAGCAGTACCTGGAGAGAACCAACTGTGGCACCATTCATATGAACCCAGAATACCAGGGTACATTTTGGTCCCGTGCGTGCAATAACAGGAGTGAGGATGTCAGCTATGTCACCAAATTTTCCATTTGAGCTATCAGCATACAGGTACCAGCCATCTGTAGCATTTCTGGGGAAAGTACAATGTGTTCATTAGATTTTTAAAGAAGAAAATAATTATATAACAGTTTGCCACTGATTATATTGTTCTATAATTTTTCCTAAAAGTACAACAATATTTTGCAGTATAATGATGATTCATAACCTTCAGCAGAAATAATTTTTCTACTATTTTCATTCGGAACCCATGTGCCAGTTGGTACAACCTACACAAATTATGGCAAAGGCTGAAATTATCAGGTCTAATCTGTAATAACTTGGTTGATTTTTTTTTTTTTTGCAATGATACTGCCCATACGCCGATGAGCTTTGCAGAGCTTATTTTCATGCGCATAAAATGAGACCCTGAAGCAGTGAATACCTTTAGAAAAGGCATAAAAAGAAGAAAAAATATATATAAATAATTAAAGCATGAAAAACAGAAAGGAAAACTGGCCTGAGATTCTACTCATGGGTCTAAAAGGCCTCCAGGTTCAAGTTTGATCTCCCTCTTTAGAGAGATTTAGGTCAGTTTTACCTAAGCAGATTTCAATAAGCTGGTGGATAATTTTTAAAATGTACCTTTAATTCCCTAGTTCCAAACTGAAGAGGAAAAATAATAATGGAAACAATTAAATATTGACGTAATCTTGCCATAAAGGACCGAGTTGATGTTCCCACTTTATCAATTCAAAAAAGAGATAATAAAACATTAAAGGCATGGTAAGTAACACACAGGTTTTTGAAGGATTAAATAAGGAAATGATTCCTCACAATTTGGGCATTCGGGTACTATTTGTTTGGTTAATTAGATTTCTTACTGCTTTCTCACCTAAATAGGATGCTAGATAAACTTACTGCTTATTGAAACCATTTTTATTTCGACAATTTTTTGAGGAAAGAAATGAAAATCATTAATAGCAAATAGAAGGAGAGAAGGACAAAAGTGTTCACTCGTCACTCCATATTCATTGAGTCAATCCAGTCTTGCCAGTGGCTGTCCCAGGCCCTTGGAACATGATTGTAGGCAACAGACATGACAGGGTTTGGCCTCTGGCCTCATCACTTACTGGTTGGGCAATATTAGGCAGGTTATTTAACCTCCCTGAACACATCAGTTTCTCCATCTCTAAAATGGGATAGTTCTGTGTATGGTTTCAATAGGAATTAGAAACAAAATAAGTGAAATATACAACAGTATTTGGCCCATATTACACATTAAATAACTGTTAGTGGTGATTTGTGGTTATGTTTATGTCATTAGTTGAAGCTAAAGGAATAGAGTTTAGTGTCCAGAAAACCACAGAAGGTAGGTATGAGTTGAGATCATCTTTAACAGGCAGGATTGTTATTAATTTGTCTGAATTGTGCCTCAATGAGTAAGCACGTCCAGCTTTGTTCCCTGTGTGCTTAATATGCCAGGATTCCAGAGATACCAAGAATAAAGATGAATATATGGCCACTTATATATTCAGATACATAGAACCAATAGTGAGAATAGTTAATAAAAAGATCATGCACATTTTTCTATTCATATGATCTATTTAATTTGCAAAGCTATCCTTAAAGCAATTGTCAGGATTATTGCAATTTTATTATAATTTATCATAAAATTATTTCAATATATCTAAATGTCTTCAATTCAATTGAGTTCTGCTTCTGAGATACAGGTGGAATTGTTGATTCCTCTCCAATTTTAATGCAACCAGCTTAAGTCAAACTCTTGTCATCTCTTGCCTAGCATAACAAGCCTTCTAAATTGTCACTCTATCTATTTTTCACACATCACTTAGAAAAATCTTTTAAAAAATGGAAATTGGATTATTACATCTCCAAATCCACTCCTTAAAACCTGCTAAAGTTTTCCTAATGGACTTAAGAGTATAATAAAAATATTTACTATGTCCTCAAATCTCTACATAACCTCAACCCTGCTTCCCAATGGGAATTGCAGTGGGGAAGAGATGTGCCCAATTTGCTCTTGGGAACCAGGGCAATCTGATTCAGTATACCACTGTGTATATGTGTTGCAAGACTCACTATTACAAAGACATAAATTCTTCACACTTTGATCTATAGATTCATTAAGCTCCAAGACAATTTCAATAGATATCTTTCCCAGAAATTGACAAACTAAGTTTCACAGAAAAATCCAAAGGACTAAGAATAGCCAATTTTATTGTGAAAGAGAACAAAGTTGGAGAACTTATTCTATCGGATATCAAGATACACTATAAAGGTAGAATAATCAAGACAGAGTGGTATTGGAATAAAGACAGACAAATGGGCCAGAGAAACAAAAGAAATAGTCCTAAAACAAATCCATATATATTTGGATACCTGATTTATGAAAAATTTAGCTCTTCAGAGCAGTGAAGGAAAGGACATCTTTTTAATAAATTGACTGATAAAATTAAGTAGCCACATGGGGAAAAATGAGTCTTGACCCCTATTTCACAGCGTTCAAAAATAATAAATTGCAGGGGCTGGCCTGGTGGTATAGCGGTTGGCTTTGTGCACTGTTTCCATGGCCCAGGGTTCACAGGTTCAGATCCTGAGCGGGGACCTATACACCACTTATTAAGCCATGCTGTGGCAGGTGTCCCACATATAAAGTAGAGGAGGATTGGCATGGATGTTAGTTTAGGGCCAATCTTCCTCAGCAAAAAAGAGGAGGATTGGCAACAGATGTTAGCGTAGTGCTAATCTCCCTCATCAATCAATAAATAAATAGATAAATTCCAGGTAGATTATACCTGGGATGTGGAAATTAAACTGTCTAAGATAACATAACAGTATTTTCTTTATGTGGGAATGATAACATTTTTTAACAATATATAAAAATTATTATCCATAGAGGGAAATATTGAAAAATCAGACTGTATTCAAATTAAGGATTTCTGTTTATCATAGATACCAATATCATGATCAAAAGGCCAACCAGTGAATGGGAAAAAACATTTGTATCACATTTAATGAGTGTAACACTTATTGAATGTCTACTATATACTATGCACTATACAAGATGTACAATAATGTGTGTGTATATAGTTATACATGCATATTATATAAGTACATACATACAAGCAAGAACTGGAGGAAATATCCCAAAATGTTAACATGTTTATATCTCTATTTGGGGCCCATGTCTATTTTGTTTCCTACACATTGCTTGGTTCATTGTTGACCCTCAAAAAAATACTTGATAAATAACATAAACAAATGAGTTTAAAATTAGTAGAGTGCATATGGAAATAAAAAGACTGAAGCCCACCAATGGGCTTCCCTCTGAGATACCTGGCACTGCAACCTACCAGTAGAATCAGTATTAATTCAAATTTGCCAAGCCTCTAATTTCCACTCATTAGCTCAGCTTTGATGAAAATTCTTATAGAATAATATAGGATCAAATTATCTACTTCTCTCTCACTCCTCTTCTTACCCTACCCAAGTCTGCGGTGTGGGGGAAGGGTGAAAATTTCAAACAAAACAGAAGCAAGGCTTTCCTTTAGAATTCCCATCACAAAAGGGGGTTGGGGGTGGGGAGAGATTACCAAATTAATCCTGATTCTTTCTTGCAGTCAAAATCTAAACCTAACATTCACTTAACAGTAAGCACCAATCCTCAACAACTAATATGTCAAAGGGCTCAGGAAACTAGGAGAAGAATCTAGCAAACATTGTCCCTTTTCATAAATTTATAGGCAGGACCACATCACTTAAGGTCCCAATCCCTTGTCTAGCTAGCTCTCCTCCTGCCCCTGAAACAAGACCAAAGGAGTGACAGAGCTGTGTATTCAGATGAAATTACACATGAAAAGTTGATAATATGCTCCAGGCTGGGGAAAAAAAGCAACCATAAGAAAAGACAGACAAAGTTAATAGATTTGGAGACCAAGGAGACATTAAATGAACACAGGCCACAATTCTGTCAATGTTAAAAGCATCTAACCAAAGGTTCTTTAACTAGAGATCCCCGTATTAATTTCCCAGACACTACACAATGGAAACAAACACAAAACTAATGCTTAATTTCCCCATTCCAATATAAGTCAAGGAAATTCAGTCACAAGGATAAATATAAAATAAATTGTTGAGCTAACTCTTTATAACTATACGTCCCTGAAATATCCTCTTCACCTGCAAGGAAAAGGAAAAAGGAAAATATGTCAGGAGATCAATTTGAAGCATGCAAACAACAAAAGTGCATTTGTGTCTTTACATTGCACTTGAACACAATGCCAGTATAACAGAATATCATTTGGTTACCAATCTCATATGCATTAATTGGGGGCACACGATACATGTACGATTCCTAATGGAAAAATAAAGAATTACACAAACACTGGCCTGTGTCTGGGGTGAGATTATTTAAGCATGTACCTGCAAAGGAAATCAACACCCCTCCTGAAATCAACACAGCATTAATGACCACACCTAACGATGCTGTCACCCGTAAAATATCAGCATCTCTCTACTAGCCTTCAAAGTGTCTTCTCTCATGCAGGGCAGGAAGTAGGGTGTTTTATAGAAACATATCTTTTCTAATAAAACATATCATAAACCACAGTAGTAAAGGTTTAATGAAAGTAGCGTTAAACACCCAGGTGTTGTGAAAGTAAAGATTCCAGGTAATGATGCAAAGTCATTAAAAAAAAGCCATTATCCAAAGTGATCTGATCTATAGTGCATGCTGTTTTAAAGAAAGTTGCCCAGGCCTCATAGGATAATCAGTTTCTAAATCTTACTATTCTACAGATTAAACAATTAAAATATTGACTTTTTTCCAACTTATTTGAGAATCTCCTAGGTATTCACTTAATTAAAATAGTAAGAAAAAAACACTCTTGCATGGACAAATCAAAATATTTTTGAGTTAGGTCAACTGCCGTTTGATCCTGTACATTTATAGTGTGAGGGACACATTCTCCAGGCTTATTCTTGGGTTGAGATGTACCCTCTGATTCACTATGATATTATAGGCTGTTTTAACGTACCTGATGGGATATGATCTACTAAATGTTGTCATGA